GGGCTGCTAGCAACCAGCTGGCGACCCTAGGGGATGCCTGCCTGAGGACTGGGCCAAGACAGCGGCAGCAGAGCTGGAATCTGGGTCCTGAGCACACAGTGTAAGGCCTGGACCACTCACCTACAGAAGCCAAATTTGCCAGCCAGTCCCTCTCCCCAGGACCCAAGAAAGTTGAGGCTGGAGCCTCGCTCTGTCACCAAGCTGGACTGCAGTGGCACAATCAATCTCAGCTCATTGTAACCTCCACCTCCTGGGTTCAAGTGATTCTCCTGTCTCAGCCTCCAGAGTAGCTGGGACTACAGGCATGTGCCACCATGCCTGGCTAACTTTTTCCTATTTTTAGTAGAGATAAGGTTTCACCATGTTAACCAGGATGGTCTTGATCTCCTGACCTCAAGATCCACCCACCTTTGCCTCCCAAAGTGCTGGCATTATAGGCATGACCACCAGGCCCAGCCTTCTTTTCTTTTTGAAACAGTGATATGGTTTGGCTGTGTCCTCACCCAAATTTCATCTTGAATTGTAACTGCCACAATTCCCATGTGTCATGGGAAGAACCCAGTAGGAGGTGATTAAATTATGGGGGCGGGTCTTTCCTGTGCTGTTCTCATGACAGTGAGTGATATTGAATGAGTCTCACAAGATCTGATGGTTTTAAAGATGAGAGTTCTCTGCACAAGCTCTCTCTTTGTCTCTTGCTATCCATGTAAGATATGACTTGCTCCTCCTTGCCTTCTGCCATAATTGTGAGGCCTCCCCACCCACAAGGAACTATGAGTCCAATTAAACCTCTTTCTTTTGTAAATTGCCCAGTCTTGGGTATGTCTTTATCAGCAGTGTGAAAACAAACTAATACAATAAATTGCTATCATAGAGTAGGGCATTGCTGAAGAGATACCTGAAAATGTGGAATTGACTTTGGAACTGGGTATCCGGCAGAGGCTGAAACAGTTTGGAAGGCTCAGAAGAAGACAGGAAAACGTGGGAAAGTTTGGAACTTCCTAGAGGTTTGTTGAATAGCTATGACAAAAATGTTGATAGTGATATGAACGCTAAGGTCCAGGCTGAGCTGGTCTTAGATGAAGATGAGGAACTTATTGGGAACTGGAACAAAGGTGACTCTTGTTTTGTTTTAGCAAAGAGACTGGCAGCATTCTGCCCCTGCCCTAGAGATTTGTGGAACTTTGAACTTGAGGGAGTTGATTTAGGGTATCGGATGGAGAAAGTTTCTAAGCAGCAAAGCATTCAATAGGTGACTTGGGTTCTGTTAAAGGCATGAGTGAGTGAGTGAATGAGTGAATGAATTCACTCATAGTAAATGAATCTCCCGATATCTGATGGTTTTAAAAATGGGAGTTCTCTGCACAAGCTCTCTCTTTGCCTGCTGCCATTCATGTAAAATGCGACCACTCCTCCTTGCCTTCTGCCATGATTTTGAGGCCTCCCCCGCCACGTGGAACTGTGAGTCTAATTATACCTCTTTCTTTTGTAAATTTCCCAGTCTCAGTCATGTCTATATCAGCAGTGTGAAAACAAACTAATACAGAGTCTTGCTCTGTCATCTAGGCTGGAGTTTCCTGGCACAATCTCAGCTCACTGCAACTTCTGCCTTCCTGGTTCAAGCGAATTCTCCTGCCGCAGCCTCCCGAGTAGCTGGGACTACAGGTGCACGCCATTATGCCCAGCTAATTTTTGTATTTTCAGTAGACAGGGGTGTTCGCCATGTTGTCCAGGCTGGTCTTGAGCCCCTGGTTTCAAGTGATCCACCCATCTCAGTCTCTCAAAGTCCTGGGATTACACACCTGAGCCACCACACCCAGGAATTTTCTACCCTGAAAAATTCACTCCATTCAAAGAGTGAAAAGCTTCCTGGGAGATACAGTGTGTTGTCTTTGGATTATGGCTAAGCCTTTGCACACTTTCCTTGGGCACTTTTATTATATGACACCAGAAGAAGAATTTTCCAGAAAGCAATCTCCCACTCCGTTTGCAAAAGCTTAGACTCATTGACTTAACAAGAGGAGACCAAAGTGTGTTTTGGAGTGAGGAAGCAGAAGTCCCTGAGGTTTGAAGTCAGGACGAAGGTGATGTCCAAGGAGGCTCCAAGAGTGAGAGGCATCCAGGCATGGTAGCTCACACCTATAATCTCAGCACTTTGGGAGACTGAGGCAGGTGGATCACTTGAGATCAGATGTTTGAAACCAGCCTGGGCAACAGTGAAACTCCGTCTCTACTAAAAATATAAAAATTAGCTGGGCATGGTGCCAGGCTTCTGTAGTCCCAGCCACTCAGGAGGTTGAGGCACAAGAATTGCTTGAACCCAGGAGGCAAAGGTGACAGTGAGCTGAGATCATGCCATTGCACTCCAGCCTGGACAACAGAGCGATACTCTCTCTTAAAAACAAAAGAGTGAGGGGTGGATGCCCCACTCACACCTAAGAGGTGGCCAGGTTCCTGAGACAATCCAGAGAGGAAGACGGCTCTCTTCATACAACTTATGGAGTTTCTCTTTTTCCAAAAAACCCTTTTACACTCCCCAAATGTGACTCAACTTTCCAAAGTAACTAAGTTGTTTAAGCTGTGGTTCCAAATCAAAAATGTCAGTCAGCCTTGAAGATAGGAATGATTTAAATCATGTCCCTTGCTGCACACACACATTAAATTTTTGTTTGACAATGAGGTTGATTTTAAGTACTAGAGAGTCACTAAGATGGAAAAAAATTTTAGATGCCTTGGAAATTAGGGGGTTTCATAATAGGCAACTAACAGAAACGGTGCCTATCTACCTTATGTGAACAAGAAGGTAAATAATCTAGAAAATATTTAATATAGAATCAATATGATTCATATTTTATTAACAAAGACGTCAAAATGATGACAATAAAATTAACCAAATGGAAAGATATCTCATCTCATAGTCTCTTATTACTTTATCCAGATAGGCCTTAAGGAGTTTCTGACCATTTCTTCCTTTTTTTTTAGACAAAGTTTTGCTCTTGCTTCCCATGCTGGAGCGCAAAGGTGTAATCTTGGCTCACTGCCACCTCCACCTTCTGGGTTCAAGCAATTCTCCTGCATCAGCCTCCCAAGTAGCTGGGATTACAGGCACACGCCAGCACGTCCAGCTAATTTTTTGTATTTTTAGTAGAGCTGGGGTTTCACCATGTTGGCCAGGCTGGTCTTGAACTCCTGATCTCAGGTGATCCACTCACCTCGACCTCTTAAAGGGCTGGGATTACAGGCGTGAGCCACCACGTCTTGCCTCTGACCATTTCTTAAGGACAGAAGCCACAGGATATTTTGCCATGAATATCACGTTCATCCCTCTGCCCACACATTTACTCACATTCGCTGGACTGCAGTGGCTGACCACATGAACTTTGAAGGTTGATAGACACTTCCTATCTTGGGCAAATAACTAACTCCCTGTACAGCTCAGTTCTCTTATCTCCAAAATGGGAAAAATAGTAACTTCATAGGTTGTTATAAGTGTTTATTAAATAAAATTATCAATTTAAAATCTTTAGTATAGGGCATAATATGAACAATAGCTACAATTGAGTTCTGGCACTGTCTTAATTATGTACTTTGTAAGTGTCGGGTCATTTCCTGTAAATAAATACGAGAGAGGAAGATGCTAGTTCTGCTTGCCTTCATTGTGCTAATGAAGAAACTGAGGCCCTCGGTCACACAGCTACTAAGTGGTCAGGCTCATATGCCATGAAAGGCAACGCATGACAGTTGTCATGATTAAATACACACATGCTGCGTTAGGTTTTCAAGGATAGTTACAAAGGAAGGCTTTAATTTTAAAAATTTTTTTCAGAAAGGGTTCTATCTAATTTGGTGCGTGGTAAAATTTCACAGTGATGCAAGATGCTTAAAAATTAAGTCAATAGGCCGGGCGCGGTGGCTCAAGCCTGTAATCGCAGCACTTTGGGAGGCCGAGGCAGGTGGATCACGAGGTCAAGAGATCGAGACCATCCTGGTCAACATGGTGAAACCCCGTCTCTACTAAAACTACAAAAAATTAGCTGTGCATGGTGGCGCGTGCCTGTAGTCCCAGCTACTCAGGAGGCTGAGGCAGGAGAATTGCCTGAACCCAGGAGGCGGGGGTTGCGGTGAGCCGAGATCGCGCCATTGCATTCCAGCCTGGGTAACAAGAGCGAAACTCCGTCTCAAAAAAAAAAAAAAAATTAAGTCAATAACACTGCAAACTTAATATCCCTAAACAAGCTCAGTCAACATAGCGAGACCCCATCTATAGAAATAAAATAAATTAGCCGGACATGGCAGCATGTGCCTGTAGTCCCAGCTAGTCAGGAGGCTAAGGCAGGAGGATCGCTTGAACCCAGAAGGTGGAGATCTCAGACAGCTGTGATGGCACCACTGCACTCCAGTCTGGGCAACAGAGGAAGACTCCCATCTCTTAAAAATTAAAAAATGTACCATCAGGAGAAGGGAATTAAAAATTAAAATTAAAAAATTGAAAAATAAAACCATCTCTAAACATAAATATGACTTCAACTTCCTTAGGTCAGATGGGAAGAATTTATGACATTCCTGAGCTCAAAGGGTAAGCAAAGGATATGGGTATAGTTGATTGGTATTTAAGCGGCAAGCCTGAGAAAGGAGGCTGGTTCTTTATAAAGATTCTGATCTTTATAGTCGAATCCTGTCCGATTCTACTATAAAGTACTTGTGTCAGTTGCCAGTTCCTGCAATCTGAACTTTCTTATCTGTCAGATGAGGTTTTATGAGATCAGTGACTCCCCACCCTGTCACAGGTGATAATCATCCAAGTAGCTGTAAAAAAGTTACCTAGGCCTGGATGCTCCCAGAGATTCTGATCAAACTGGCCTGGGGTGGGAATTTCTGAAAGCCCCTGAAAAACGCTAATGTGCAACCAACTCTGAGAAGCACTAACTTAGGCCCTTTCTGATGTACAAGGATGCAGCTCCATGAGGTGCTACTAGATCACAAAGACAAAACAGAAATACCTGAAGCAGAATCTTGTTGCCGTCGTAGTCCCGAGTCTGCCACCTGGTGCTGCTGATGGGAATGCATGGGTTGGGTAGCAGAGGCACTAAAAGGCCAATCTCTCGAACCTTAAACTGCAGCACCGAAGACTCTTTGGGTTCCACTGACGTTCCTGGGGGCAGCTGCTTCAGGGACAGCTGCAGAGCAAAACTGTTGGTGGCGTAGAGCACGAAGAAACAAAAATTACTCTTTTGCAAGGTGGCTTCTCTCTGCAGGATCATCTCATAGAGTCTGATGGCATCCTCATAGTTATCAAAGCTGCAATAGAGCGTCACCCTCAAGATCTCAGAGCCACAGTGCACCTGCCTCACCCCCCAGATGGGCATCTGGCTGTCCAGGCTGTAGAACTCCTGATTGGCAAGAAGGTAGGGACACAGCCTTCCCCGAGTGTCCTGGGTGGGGTAGTACTGCCATGGTGAATGTTGGAGAGAGTCCAGGATGCGGAACAGCCGATCCTCTCCCAGGCTTTTGGGCAGAAAAAGCAACACGGACATCCCTGGGAACCGGGACCGCTTGGAGTGGGACTTTTCACAGTATTTCACAGGACTGGCCCGTTCAGACACCTGAAAGAGTCGGACCTCTGGGCAAATGCAATCCAGGAGCTGGTCCAGAGTCCTCTGCAGAAGCGAACCGTGCCCAGAGTTGGCAAGCAGATGGACGGTCATGGCCAGAGGCCCCTGTGTCTCATCCATGGAGGAACTGCCTGGCGATGACAAAGATAGCGTGCGTAGAAGGCCCACTGTTTAAGCTTCTGAAATGAATGAAGGAGCAGCCCAGCCTTCAGCCCACCCGAAAACCTTCAGCTGCAGCGGCTACTTCTGAGCAGAGCTCTTAACCAGACTGACATGTGCTCCTGGCCACCCACGGACTTGCCGTAAGAGCAGCTCACACAAGCTCAGCAGCCTCCGCTCCACATGGCAGCAGTGGGGTCACAGCATCCAGCTTGTGCATAAAGTGACCGCTTGTGTTTGGCTTTTCAGGCGTTCCCCAGGGTTTCAGTGTGACCTAAAAACCTATAATCCTGAGAAACACCCAAGTGGGCGGCTCTTACAGACAGTGAGTAAAGGAAATGACCCGGCAAAAAGGAACAGGAGTTGGCTCTGTTAGGCTGATAGCAATCTGTTTAGTTGAAAAGACAGCCATTTTATCAGCACGACAGGCTCTCATTTCCTACTTACGGTTTACAGTAGCCTGTGCGGCCAGTCTGAATACAATGACCTCTTGAAAACAATTCTCAAAACTTGACCCCTTGCCAAGGTTTTTTTCCTTTGTCTCTTTATTTCATTTAGTTTCTGAACATTTTATGCTAGGGCATGAAGAGAAGGTATTTTATCTCAATAATTTTGACTTCACTGAAAATTATTTGCTCTACTAAAAATTCTGAGTGCACTAAAAAGACATTGAGAAAATAAGTCTTCCTTTATTCATGCAAAAAAAATTTTTTTTTTTTTTGAGACAGAGTTTTGCTCTTGTTGCCCAGGCTGGAGTGAAATGGCGTGACCCTGGCTTACCACAACCTCTGGCTCCCGGGTTCAAGCGATTCTCCTGCCTCAGCCTCCCGAGCAGCTGGGATTACAGGCATGCACCACCACCAGGTAATTTTGTATTTTTAGTAGAGATGAGGTTTCCCCATGTTGGCCAGGCTGGTCTTGAACTCCTGACCTCAGGTAACCTGCCCGCCTCGGCCTCCCAAAGTGCTGGGATTACAGGCGTGAGCTATTCATGCAAATTCTTTAGAAAGAGTGAGAGCTTTCCAGTAATTGCTCATGTAATTATAATAATAAATAAGAATTATAATTTTTAGTGTCTATTGAGGATCTACTATGTACCAGTCATAAACTGTTCTAATTCTTAATGTAAACTTTTTTTTTGGGAGAAGGAGTCTCACTCTATCACCTAGGCTGGAATGCAGTGGCATGATCTTGGCTCACTGCAACCTCCAACTCCCAGGTTCAAGAGATCCTCGTGCCTCAGCCTCCCCAGTAACTGGGACTACAGATGGCTAATTTTTGGTATTTTTGGTAGAGACTGGGTTTCGCCATGTTGGCCGGCCTGGTCTCAAACTCCTGACCTCAGGTAATCTGCCCCCCTTGGTCTCCCAAAGTGCTATGATTACAGGCGTGAGCCCCCACACCCAGCCATATTAGTCCATATTTATATAGCTGTGAAGACATACCTAAGACTGGGTAATTTATAAAGAAAAAGAGGTTTAATGGACTCACAGTTCCACATGGCTGGGATTACAGGCATGAGTCACTGAGCCTAGCCCTTAATGTAAATTAATTTAATCTTGCAATAAACCTATGAAGAAGAGATTACTAGCTCCAAATTACTGATGAAGAAACTGGAGCATAGAAAGGCTAAGTAACTTGCCCAAGTTCTCACAGCTAAGAAGTAGCTGAGGGAAGATTTGAACCCAGAAATTTGCTGCACTGCCTCTCTGGGGCCTTGAAATCCCAGCCTGGGTTTTCTTCCTTCTTGTAAGGAAAAGATACAAAAGCAAGTTCTGGTTAAGGACCTAGATTTGGAGACTCTTGAGCTGTTGAATCTTAAATGGAATAATCTTCAGTGAGAGTGGTCTCAAGCTCTAAACAACATTCACCGTAATGTGTTCTAAATATTGATTTAAAAATTGTTTGTGGCCAGGCACAGTGGCACACGCCTCTAATCCCAGCACCTTGGGAGGCCAAGGCAGGCAGATCACCTGAGGTCAGGAGTTCGAGAACAGCCTGGCCAACATGGCAAAATGCCATCTCTACTAAAAACACAAAAATTAGCTGGGCTTGGTGGCATGCACCTATAGTCGCAGCTACTCAGGAGGCTGAGGCACAAGAATCACTTGAACCCAGGAGGTAGAGGTTGGAGATCACACTACTGCACTCTATCCTGGGCAGTAGAGCGAGACTCCATCTCAGAAACTAAAAAATAATAAATAAAAATAAAAATATCTTTTTAAAAAATTATTTGCTCTCCTGAGAGCTGTGCTCCTCAACAGATATTAACACAAGCACTTTCTCTAAACATAATTCTTCTTAAAAGAAACAATTGGACCAGGTGAAGTGGCTCACAACTGTAATTTCAACACTTTGGGAGGCCAAAACAAAACCATCACTTGAGCCCAGGAGTTCCAGGCTGCACTGAGCTAAGTTCATGCCACTGCACTCCAGCCTGATCAACAGAGCAAGATCGTATCTTAAAAAAAAAAAAAAAAAGTTATTTAAAAAGGGCTGTCAAAAATTAAAATAAAAGAGGCAATTTATGAATCCTTCTAATTGAACACAGTGTGACAATGTTTTATGTTAAAAACATTTTGGTGATGAAAAATATAACAACATTTATATATCTGGATTCCTTTAATAGTATAATTAACCTAATTTAAAGTAAAATATTATTATCCAAGAAAATGCATTATTTCTATTCAGATTCACTATCTAAGTCTAACCTCCAATTCTAGGCATTTGTGTTTCATAATTCCTATACCTTTTGGGTGGGAAAAATATATAAATACAATTTATAACAGATGAATTGTGTTTTCGTTACTGTGAACAACTCAGTAATTAAATTCATCTTGTTTCAACTTTTCAAAAAATCATTAGAGTTTTGTTTTGTTTTTTTTTTTTGCATTACAGCTCTCAAGCTTTTTTAAGAAAACTCAACAGAATTCGTGTCATGCTTTGGCACTGGAAGCAGATAACTTTCTCATCTCTCAGTGTGAGTGCTCTCCCTGCCCCGGTCCTTCTATTCACACAGCTGATTGTACTTTAAACAAAACTATAGTTTTTGAAACAGCCTTTGAAATTCTGGAAATAACTCTAAAGATCTGAGAAGAAAAATTGTTCCCCCAGGACCACAATATTAACTCACAACATATTGTACAAGGCAAGTGTTAAAGCTCTTCTATAGGAAAAGATTTGGTTTCTTGATAGCGTTTCAATCTTCCATCTAATGCTAAAAGCATACCTTTTTCCTCATGAGGTTGTCACTTCTTTCAGGATTGAAAAGATTTCATTAATCTGTTGGCAGCCAAAGTACCAACCAATCCAGGGGCAGGAGGCCAGGGAAGAGGGGGACCAGCCTCATCTCCGACTGGCTATGTCCACGATTCTTTCTCCAGGAACAACGTGAAATACTGACCTTCCCCAGACCGCCTCCACCTTCGGTCACCACCTTCCACCCACCACCAATGCCAGATTCTCAGCTGTGCACCACAACACTGTTTTAGCCTGGTCCTTCTGTTGAAGGCACAGATGAAAATACTCAGGGAAATCGTGAGCTTTGACTCTCAGCACATGGACGGCTGTGACTCAGTTCTCTACCTTATTTTTCTTAGATTCAGCAATGATGCCCAGGTTTCTGTAATCGCCAGCTCCTGGACGGCAGCTGGTTGGTCCATGCCTCACAGCAAATGGAGAGGCTGGTGATGAGTCATGCAAGCAAACCTAGGAAATCTGAGGCTCTGTTGGAACTTGCGGAAATCCTCAGGGATCTGTCCTTTCTGCAAGTCTGTAGAATACAATAGGATGCATTATAATCTCAGGATTCCTAGCCTCAACTCAGGAGAACTCTGAGAAGAGTTTCTTTCCATCTTTCATTTATAAAATATGTTTATCTCACATGTCAAGAGCCAGGCGTTGCACCAGGAGCAGAAGATAGAATCACCACCATCCTCCACTTTGGAGGGGCACCCTAAATGATGGGTCAGTGCCATAATAACGGGCACTGCAGGATGCATGAAGACCTCATGGGGAGACACTGACTTAGCTGAGGGCCCAGGACTGTCACTCACTGGTGCAACTGCAAGCAGTTCAAGGTAGCTGGAGTGGCAGTTCAATGAAGGGGAGGGTGGAGGACAGCCAGGGGCCTGATTAGGAAAGGCCTTGCATGCCAAAGTACCAACGAATCCAGGGACAGGAGGCCAGGGAAGAAGGGGACCAGCCTCATTTCCGACTGGCTGTGTCCACTTGATTCTGATCTGACCAGAACCACTAAAAGTCAGCATGAAAAGAGAAGTGATGCATTGAGGAAGCCACGGACCCAGCAAGCTATGCAAAGTCAAAGGACAAGTTTGTTGGCTGGTTGGATGCAGGCAGAAAAGCGCAGTGGTCAGTCCTGGAGGCATTTCAGGGTGCTACTCGCAGATGTTTGGGTGAGGCTGTCAGTCACCAAATAAGGAATAGTGGCCGGGCGTGATGCTTCACACCTGTAATCCCAGCACTTTGGGAGGCTGAGGCAGATCACCTGAGGTCGGAAGTTCGAGACCAGCCTGACCGAGATGGAGAAACCCCGTCTCTACTAAAAATACAAAATTAGCCGGGTGTGGTGGCGCGTGCCTGTGATCCCAGCTACTCAGGAGGGTGAGGCAAGAGAATTGCTTGAACCCGGGAGGCAGAGGTTGCAGTGAGCCAAGATCACCCCATTGCACTCCAGCCCAGGCAACAGGAGCAAAACTCCGTTTCAAAAAAAAAAGAATACTGGAAAGGGGGGCGGTTGGGAGTGAGGATGAGGAGTGCAGGGTGGCTGTGTTGTGCATGGATGCCCATGGTTTGGCCAGAGTGGAGATATCCGGTTGCCTTTTCACTACAGCTTCGAGGGGAGCAGTACATCAGAGAATATAAATTGGGGACCTGCTGGTCTTCAGGCAGTCATGGGAAAGGATGTGACTACCCAGAAAGAAAAGGACAGAAGGAGGAAGAGGATGGGATCCCAGGAGTACCCAGTTTAAGAGACAAGCAATGTTTAAGTAGCACCCAGGGCAAAATGGAGAGTGGAGTGTATTGCTAGGACTTCTGAACGCGGCCTCGGCTGGGCCGACAGCATCACTGAGTGCTTCAGGATAGCATTTGTGACTCACTTACCTTCTCAATTGGGAAAACTCACAAAAGCAGCTGTCACCCAGCGAACCTCAGAGCCATTCAATCCTGTTTTCCTTGTTCCCAAACAACCTTAACTCTGGTTCTTGATGTGATACTCACTTCTAACCAGGGACGAGGCATTCTAGAACCTGGGACACTGATTGG